TTTAAAAAATATGATTTAAAATCCTCCACATAATGATTTACTTTTACATTGTTTATTGGCTGAATCTGAATATATCATAGATATTTTCAGTTTGAACATAAATAAATGAAATAATACAATATAACCTACAATAATTTAAATTATATCATTAATCTAGGTAATCAAATCAATTCAGTCTAAAAAGCTGCATGTAGTGTCATTAAATGTCCAGCAGGTGTCAGTATCAACGCAGCATCAATCCAGTTTGGCAATGTGTCAAAATGCTTCCAGATGCCTCATTAACCATCACTACTGTTTATCATTTGATGGTCGTTTATTGATATGTTTTAAATCCAAAACAATAAACAGTTGAATATGTTCTAAGGAAAGTGGAATTTAATGGACGTCAGCTACCTGCTGCCTCAGCAAACTTATTAAGTGAACTAATTACAGGTGTGCACCTCTGACAGGCTGCAAGGCAGTGAAGTGCACAAAATGGAAAGAAAAGGAAGTCTGTAAGGTTTCCTTTTTTTTTTTTTTTTTACCATTTACCATTGAGATGTCAAGAGATATTGAGAACAGAAGCTTAGATACAACTTGCAGGTAATGCTGATTAATTAAAACTCTGAAAATGATCACTAAAGAAAAGTCAGCACAGGACATGAACATTGATATCACTTGGTGATTTCAGAGCATCATGCACCAAAGTTTCAACCTTCATTCATGCCATGTCCCGGAAGAAGCCTCTGCAGCCAGAAGGTGAGGAGTCCAACTTCTGCCGGTGCCTCACCACCCTGGACCTGGTGGGTCTGGGTGTCGGCAGCACACTTGGAGCTGGAGTTTATGTGCTCTCAGGGGAGGTTGCAAGGGAAGTGGCCGGCCCAAGCATCATCCTCTCCTTCTTTGTGGCAGCTGTAGCTTCAGTATTTGCAGGAATGTGCTATGCTGAGTTTGGAGCCCGAGTTCCAAAGACTGGCTCAGCTTACCTTTATACCTATGTGACTGTAGGAGAAGTGTGGGCATTTGTAACTGGATGGAACTTGCTCCTGTCTTATGTCATAGGTAAGTAAATCATTCAAATACACTTGCACTGCAAAGACATTCTGACAATGAGCACAACTTTCTTAAAATAAGAGTATTAACCCTCAATCTGAGCAGGAAAATAAGATGCCAATGAAATTGGGGATTTTACCTTTAAAATAAGATAATTGGATATTATGCACTTGAAATAACAGACCGCAGTTGTTTTTTATTAGTTTAAATGAACATCTTTCTTGCAATGTGTGGTATCAAATAAGGGAACTTAACGTTGTATAACTAGTTTTAACACTTATTTATTTCTGCATTTATTCTTAATCTGGTTAGTTATTTAAAAAAAGTAGGGCTGTATATTAGGTGGAAAATATACCACTGCTTCTATTTGCAGTGTTTTCAAACCGCACTGACAATCCCAATCACTAGAATTAGATTAACACTATAATGTTAAAAAAATTTACAAAAAATTAACCCTGAAATATAATGTTTAAAAAGAAATGTTGAAACCCTACTAAGGGCAAGTTTAAGTGCAAAGGTTTGCACATTGCTCCTTTGTAAACATATTTGGAAAGACACCCTGGACCAGTGCTTCTTAAATCCAGTCCTTAAGAGCAACTAGCCCTCAACTTCAAGATGCACTGTATCAAACGAAAAGCTTTTTCTGTTGAAAATGGAAGCCATTCTAATAAAATCCCTCATTACAAACGGCTCTTTGGCACTACAGCATTAGAAACACAGCCCTGGACGGGACCGCCTGTAGGTTTACAGTTGCTTTTTGTATCTCTGCTTCTTTTTGTATCTCTTCTTCTGTCTCTTTGAACCCCAGTCGGCCTCAGCAGATGGCCGCTTACACTGAGCCTGGTTCTCCTGGAGGTTTCTTCCTGTTAAAAGGGAGTTTTTCCTCCCCACTTTCGCTACAAGCATGCTTAAGCTGGAAATGCATTGTACAATTTTTTTGCCCTTTTCCAGTCATGTGAGGATTTTTAGATCAGGCCGTCTTTCATCCTGGTGGTGCGTCGTGTAGTATACAGGTGTTAACGAGAGGAATCAGCCTCTAACGACCACCTCCTGATCAGGAATCGTGAGGTCGGGAGAAATATCAAACGTGTTTGAAATTCATTCGGCCGTCGTAAGGTGGTTGTGGGCAAATCGATCAGCGCGCAAACAAGGATTCTTCTTCCTCCTCTCAGATGTAAACACAGTAGCATGGCGGGGGTGCAATGAGTGAAATGGAGTTCTTACTGTAAAACTGACAGACAGTAGTAGCCACGTTTGCTCAGCCATGTCTTTCTCTAAATACATCGTCATCTTTTCTTTTTAGGGCTTTCAGCACAAAATTACACAAATTACCAAGGCAGCTCGTTTCACTCTAGTGAGCTTCATATTCCTCTTCTACTCATTTGGATCTGGATAGACGAGTCCAAGTAGCTCCATCTCACTGCGGAGCTGAGATGGTTTTTAGATGTTCAGTGTGAGCAGGTAGATTGCATCAGAGCGTCGGGTCGCACAGAGTGAGAACAAACATCATGAGCTGTGAACTTTTAAACCCTGCGGTTTGGTCATACAGTATGAACTGTAGCTGCGTGTAACTGTTGAAAAAAAAAATTGCACAGTGTATGCCCGGCTTTGGTGTGAGGGATTGCCTTCGGGTCAACGAGTCGATGCAATCAACTGGTTTCCCTTGATTGAAAACTTTTAATCAATTTGACTGTTTGATCTGCTGAACTGTGTAAACTTGTTGTGATTTGGCACTACATAAATAAACTGGATTGAATAGAATATATATTTGTTTATGCAAATGTTTTATTGGCATTCCAATAAACTTTTTATGACATAGGATGGGGAATAATACACATATTTGTTTCTTAAATTTCCAGGTGCAGCAAGTGTAGCAAAGGCTTGGACCGGAGCCTTTGATGACCTCATCGATAATGTTATTGCCAAAACTCTGGAGGAACATGTCATGATGGACCTCCCTGGCCTAGCTACATACCCAGACTTCTTTGCTGCTGCTTTGATTATGCTGCTGTCAGGTATGCATACGTTTGTTGCAGGATGCAGTATACAATGCGTTTCTGACCTAATGATCTTTAAAATAAATGTTCACCTTTGAACCATATCTATCCCCTTTTTTTTTTTTTTTGCAGGAATACTTGCCTATGGCGTGAAGGAGTCTGCACTCCTGAATATAATTTTTACTTCTGTAAATGTGCTAGTCTTGCTTTTTATCATCATTGCCGGTTTCATTAAAGGAGAAATAAGCAACTGGAACATCAGTGAGAGAGTTCTTCACAATTTTACCTTGGAAATGGAGTAAGTGATTTTCATTCAATCCATAATTCAAAACTCTGTTACATGTTTTGTGTTATTTGTTTCTGTAGTTCATATTTTATCATATATATATATATATATATATA